TGTTATAACACATTACCTTGTGTTATAACACATTACCTTGTGTTATAGTTGTACAGTAGTCCCTCGTTACTTGACGGTTCAACTTTCGCACATTCGCTCTTTTGTGATTTTTCAAAGATTGGACATGACACACAATTGGCATGGATTTTTTAAAATTTAAAATAAATTATTTTAAATTATTTAGCACCTGCTGCACCTGTGTGCAGCTCACAGGTGCAGGAAGAAGCTCCCTAGTGTCATGATCTCTGCTCTGCAACGGAGAAGTGTGCGTGGCAGAGAGAGTGAAGACCATGACATGCTGTGCTCTTTGAGAGCGTTTAGAATTTAGAAACATTGTTCAAAATATTGCAAAAGTGTGGGAAGGGTTTAAAACGTCATATATATATAGGGCTGGGTACCTTTCTAAAAAAAAAAATCGGTATCAGTACCTTCACTTTGGTGTCGGTTCCTGGATGGTTCTTTTTTCGGTACCAATTTTGTAATTACTATTAATTCTAACAAGAATAAAATTACGTTACACATTACAGTACAAATTGTGAGTTTTATTTTTTAACTTTGGTATTTCTGTTCCAAGCAGTTTTCTTACATAAAAATAAATAATTTCCAGGTCAAAAGACCAGTTACAAACCAGTGACACGTCAGTGTCTAATGTTCACTGCTACACACTGAGGACCTTTTCACTGAACAGTTTTTCTTCATAAACAACATGTCTGTTTTCTCTGGACGCAAACAAGCCCACTCCTGACTGATGGTGTCTCCAGCAGTAGAACATGTTCACTCTGAGGCTGTAGATGATGATTGTTGCACACACAGATACCTGGTTGTCAGTTTGACATATTGTCTCTCACATCCCACCAGCAGGTCACTGGATTCAATAAGGTTAGGGATGATGCAGACTTCCGCACCCCCGTGTCTCTGCCTGAATCTTCTCTGTGGTTCTCTGGGGTTTAGGGCTCTGATCATCTCCCTAATTGACATGAGAACAAAACATCAACAATAACATGGTTGTGTTATTATTACTCAAAAAACATCATCTAGGCTGAGAGATAAAAGCTTAACTGGTCAACAACATCCTTTACAGTTTACATACCTCCAACATGCAGCTCCACTGTAGAAAAAGCAGCAAACTTTTAACAACAAAGTCTGATTGTCCTGTGGCCTCCACCTCACTTTTCTTTTGTCCTCACATCAGGGTCAGAACCTCCTGTGAGGAGAACATGAACATAAACAGTGAACATTAGTGAACTGTTTAAGCAGCTGATCCGATGGATGAGCACATGTTTACAAGCGTCATCTGTTACTGTCAATCTTTAGTTAGCTTCTGAGTTTAGCTAGCTACGTAGATAAAATAAATTTACACACCAATATCTTAAAGTTAGCGTTACATGGATTCTAGTTTAATTCACCGCGATGCATGTGTTAAGCTGCAGTAACGTTAACAAACGTAAACTTACCAGCTGAAACACAGAGCCGTCCTCTGAGTTCTTTGATGAAGACGAGTCCGGCCGTGGAATGTTGAGTCTGGCCGTTCAACACTCACAGGCTGACTTTAATGCTGAGAGGAGGAGAAGGGGAGGCTGCTGTCCTTCTCTCTCCTTGCAGAAGAACACAGAGCAACTTTCTGCTCATAAATTAAAGCCGTTCAACAACACACGCGCTGCACACGTGAACCCCGTCTGTGGGTGTCACCAGCATCATAGACATACAAGCCATACAGCAGCTCTATACAACTCTGGGTGTAAATGCGTAGTCTGTTTGTCATACATCTGGTGTTTTACCTGCCGGCAGCTGAAACCACGTGACACGTTACATCCAATACCGAAACTTGACACTGAAAAAAGAGTGACATTTCAATCCATACACCGACCAGTGCAATTTGGTCAGTGCCATAAAAGAACCTCGGTTCGTTATACAGCTGAATATATATATATACTACTTACTACTTATATTACTAACAAAGTCTATGCTCAATAATCCAGGTATACAATCCAACATTTTTCAGTCAGGTCATCTGGACAGTTCCTTTTTTTTGTGCTGAAACGTTTCGCCTTCAGTCCAGAAGGTTTCATCAGTCAAGGAAACACACAACAAAACAGATTCTTCCCCCAACAGCTTACTCCAAAGTGGAACAAACCAGTTCTGCTTGTGATAAGATGGTTTCTTTGGTACGCCCCCTCCTCCATTGCCGGCCCTCTTCCATGTTGACAGTCGTGTCAAAATGGTTGAAAACAACAAAGTCCAAAACTACTTGTATTACTATTCCTAGAAGGCGGCTTTTCACTTATCGCAGGGGGCTGAGAACGAAAACCCCTGCGATAAACAAGGGACTACTGTATATGTTTTATATTAACATGCATTTACTCCATATTTTCAAGCTATTTTCCTTCAGAGAATTATCCTATGTAAGTTAAAATCTCTTTTCATATAGTCACAAGAATGTGAGTAATAATTCTGCTTTTTCAAAGACTCAGACTAAAGGACATTATTAATAATGCATTTGTCCAGATGCCTACAAACAAATCCAAAACATGTTTTAACAGCTGTACCAGAAGCAGGGGAAGTGATGCAGCCATCATGACTAGTGCCTACTGAACAAGCCTGTGGGGGCAGTCTATGATCTGGGGTTGCTGCAGTTGGTCAGGTCTAGGTTCAGCAACAGTATGTGCTCAAAGAATGAGGTCTGCTGACTACCTGAATACACTGAAGGACCAGGTTATTCCATTAATGGATTTTTTCTTCCCTAATGGCACGGGCATATTCCAAGATGACAATGCCAGGATTCGTCGGACTTGAATTGTGAAAGAGTGGTTCTGGGAGTGTTCTATGAAATTATCTTAAACAAAATACAGGTTCGGGGAAAGGTCGAAGCAATGAATAAAAACTCACAAGCCGTTTCTGCTAGGATAATAAGTGTCATTTATTAAACTGCCACAGATTCAGCGAAGCAAAAAGTACAAGTACATTCAGTACAAATCAGATGTTGATGTAAAACCCCTCACCGTGACACCGGACCGGGAAGCCATTTCAGTCCAAGTAAAAAGGTAACATCAATTCAGGCTGGGCATCGGATCAGGATCCACAGCAGACTTCAACTCTAATTCTGAGTGTCACACTTTAATACTCTCTGCATTACATGGGAACATCTCCCAGCAACATGCCCACCTGGACTCAAAGTCTGTGAAAAACCCTTGAGATAGCGTGAGAGCGTGAGAAGCTTAAAAAACTCTAGATAACGAGGGAGCGTGAGAAGCTAGGGTGAGCAAAACCTCCAGATAGCGTACAAGAGGAGGCGGGCCGGGCCTCCTCCTCAGGCCTCTGGGTAACTCACAACAACATGCAAAAAAAAACCCACTTTATATCACAGGTTAAAATAGTCAGAAAAACAACATTTTATTCAACTCTCAACTCATTCCACCCTTTGGTTTTCTGACTAATTTTGCCCTTACCAAAAACACTTCATATCACCAGATAAATAGTCAGAAAAAAACAACATTTTATTGAATTCTTTATTCAGGGAGCATGAGACATCTTTTTCACACATGGATTGGCCACCACAGAGTCCAGACCTTAACCCCATTGAGAATCTTTGGGATGTGTTAGAGAAGGCTTTGTTTAGTGGTCAGAATCTGCCATCATCAATGAAGATCTCGGTTAAAAATTAATGCAACACTGGATGAAATAGATCTTGTGATATTGTAGAAGTTTATCGAAACAGTGACAAAGAGAATGCATGATGTCATGAAAGATAAAGGAAATCCAAACAAATATCAGTGTGTGACATTTTTTGTTGGTGGCAACGTATTATGGCCAGGCAGTGTATATACCGGTACACACCCACACACCCACACACACATACATATATATACATATGTGTATATATATGTATATATATAGACATATGTGTATATACACATACATATATATACATATGTGTATATACA